TTTTTTTTTTTTTTTTTTTTTTTTTTTTTTTTTTTTGGTTACACGGTGATAACTTTTTTCTTTCTTTTATTTTGAACGTAGGCATTCGATTCTTTTTTGTGATTTCAGTTGCAGAAAATGTGATTGATTTTTTTTATTGGTGATTATTTAATATAGCAAGGGTCTTTAAAGCTTTCAGATATTAATCTGATCTTCTATTCGTTTCTCGAAAATAGAGAAAATGAAGTGTTTTGGATTACTTTAATGAAGAAATACGTACAGGAGATGAGTATGAGTTTTTTTTTTTTATTAATAATCTTCTTTCTCTTTTTCCTATCCAGAGGTTTGCTTAGAAAGTTTAAAGAGCCTTAAAAAGATAAAGAAAATCCATTAAAGAAAAGAACAGAATATATCAAAATTGTTTTCTCATCTAAAGATACAATTTTTTTCGATTGTATCAAATTATTTTTATTGTAAAAATTATCTGCACATTAAGAACATCTCTTTCATCGCTTTTCAAAGATGTTTAGTATGCAAATTTTGACTATTTTTAATTTCGTGATTTAAAAAAAAAGAAAAAAAAAGAAAAAGAAAGAAAGAAAAAGGAAGCATTCGGACTTAAATTTTGATCTTAACCTGCGACGCCGTCGGATGTCGACGATCTCGTCTGCAACGTCATGTGCAAAGTTCATCATCTCTAGAAACTCCGAATCGTTGTTGATCTAACGTTGTTTGCGTTTACAAGAACTCATTTATGATGAAGAAACTTATGAATGAATGGTTTACTATCGCAATACACACGAGCCAAAATAAAAAGATGGATTTCGTGCAATATTATTGTTGAAATGTCTAAAATATCATAGCCAGAAGTGAGTTTATAAACTTCGTTTTTCGATCGAGTAAGAATTTCTATGAACTTAACGCGTGTGTTTAGTAAACAGCCAGATAAACGGCTCTTCCTTCTGTCAGAAGAGATAAGGGGCTCTCCTAATTACGTCAAAACAACTGTACTTCCATAAATCAGGCATCAATTAATATATAATACATTCTTAAAAGATTTCAACAAGAGAGAATCACTCATTATTGAATTAATTAACTGATTTCAGCTTGGTGTTAATTAATTTTCTGCCTATTGAGTCCTAACTTATATTTTCCACAATTATTATAAGATTATTTCTCTGTTTAAAATTAATTAATAGATATTTATTGAATCCATTCACAAGTTTTACGATCCTTGATTACAATGGCGGATTGCAATCGTGTTTTTTTAATCACGCTGCACGTATTCTAGATTCTCAATAAATTTTATTAATTAATTTTCAATATTCAATATCTTAATTGTTAAAGAAAAAAAAATGATCCGGATTAACATTGAGGCCATTAATCTGCGAGATTTCACAGCTCTTTTATGCCGATATCCAATTAATGAGCTCATGAAAGCAACGATAAACCGACATGAATATTCTTAATGTGCATCCAAAACTTAAAATAAATGAGTTGGCCATGTATTATATATCCTCTTATTGTCGAAATTTACGATCGTGTCCGTCAGAGGACATATCCAGGATCCTCTGTCGGCGGCCGCCGGAAGTCTCAACGACTCCCCCGGGATGGGGTCTCCTTCCTCGTGCTCGGCTAAGTGTTCAGCTGTTGCTCACTCGTCAACGAATTCCCTTCTAGAGTCGTGTCAAACTCCTTATCCCATCGAATCGGCGGCTTTGAGCTTCTAACACGAGTTTCCATGTTGAGAATCGTTGAAGGGAATTGTGTTAGCTTCACTTCGTTTGTCACGAAAAGGGAGGATTTCGGTTATTTCCTATTTGAAGAAGATGTTAGGCCTGTAGGATGCATAAATATTGATAAGCGTGATAAGATTGTTTGGAAATTGTTTTTATATTCAATAAATTAAGTAAGAGTGAATATTATAATGTTTTATACGACTTGTATCTCCATTTTTTTTTTGTTACAGATTATACCAACAAGTTTGAAGAATTATTATTTTCACCATCCCGATGCTGTTCTGGTGTGCCAAGGTAGCCTCCTCTTAAAGATGTAACATCAACTATATAAAGGTGTAGCTTGTGATCAGTGATCAGTTGTTAGTTTGAACAATTTTGTGCAAGTGCAATTTGAGAAACTTAACAAATTCCTTTCAAAAAAAAAAAAAAAAGAAAAAAAAATTAGAACATTTTGAAACAATCAGTGTTGAACAGTGGAGGGCTTGCCCGCCTATTGGGAGGACTTAGCCGTGCAGCATAGTGTAAATGCAGCTGCAACGGCCAGCATTTTTATGAATTACGACCTGGACAAACCAAGGATGGTCTCGCACGTCATTCCCGTCGCTGGGGTAACTTTCAATCTTAATCATTTATACGGCCCATCTGAAACTCATGGAGGACCATGAAAGATCATTTGTTAAATAATTACATGGTATTCCATGATTTTTATAATTATATCATTAGGCGATCAATCCCGTTATTAGAATTATTGCGAAGTTTAATTATTATTAAATCATTGAATTTTATTGAATTTTCATGGATTTTCAAATTAACGTTCATCAACGTTCAGTTGAGAGAGACCGATAATCGAGAGTGTTGAGCAGCGTTGCTTATCGTCGCATACGAGGGAAAGAAAAAAGAGAAAAATGGAGGTCGTGACCTCGAAAATTTCGCAACTATCCGATCTGCGTCTTCGTCGAATATTATTAACCGTTCCATTTCTAAATAATCGTCACTCTCGTCAATCTTCTTTATTCAAATTCAAAGAATTCGTTCGAGAAAGTAGAATCCATCCACTTTGAGCATAGACGTTGAATTTATTGAATAGCCCTCTTCCATGAATGAACTTATATTTGATTCAACCTGTGGATCGATTGGATGTGGTATAGACTTACAAAGCGAGCTCGAGAAATCGATAGAAGCTCGTCTTACTATGGCTAACAGGCTAAATCAGGCCAGTTGTAGGAGTATACTCCGTGCCGAGTTAAATTAAAGCAATATCGAAGGCAGAATATGATTATTAGGTGGTCATGAGACGATAATTCTGGGGCAGACACGCGAACTAGTTATTCAAAATAAACGAACTGCTGATAAGTTGAAGGAAAAGCAGAGGAGCTTTTATCGAGGCAGTGATAAGAGAAGTTGCCTCTCACGTTGTCGACCTATGCTGATCTTTCCTCTCCCACGACCTGACTTCCATTGCTGTATGTTGATACACTTGCTGAAAGGAACAGAGTAAATTGTTAAAGCATAATTCAATCTTTCAATACTCATCTTGATACGATTCATTTTAAAATCTATATAATTTAATATATTAATTTTCTAAGAATTATTTAATTTGCTGATTTATAATTATTGTTTTCAAAATTTGATTGTTTCTCTCTATATCAAATAGAGTTAAAATATGATCAAAAACAAAGGATCAAAGATATAAGTTTATCCTGAGGTTCTAAATCTCATTCATTTGTTGATCTACAGAAGTGTTTATAGGCCCTCTATCTTTAGTCATGTTGAACTCTGTATGTAGTGCAAACAAGCTAAATCATCAGAAACAATAAACCAACTTTCATTTGTTTGTTTATAAAACAATGTAATTTATCAAGCGGTATTTCCCTTATTTTCCAACTATTACTTCTTATTATTTACAAAATTGAAATTATCATTAGCAATTTTTAATATTTCTAGAAAAACTATTATCCTGTGAACGCATCCAATGATTAACATCCTTAGTTATTAAGATATATTACTTCTTTTTCATTTACCACTTTCTTTCCAAGCTCTGCACATATTTCTTCCAGCAAGTACACCAATAATAATCCAAGTATCTTAAAGTTTCTTGTCCTTTGAAGAATCCAGCTATGTCGATTCTCTTTTTTCCTATTCGTTCAAAGCATTCATCGGTGGCGGTATAGGAGCTTAATTTAATGGCTGTCTAGCGAATTAACGAGGTGACCACGTGTTCCAGCCAACCGCCTCGACAGATTTCTCGAGAACGTTTTTCAGTGTCAACCCCCTGATGCACTTCTGCGGTATATTCCACGCGATCTCTGTATATTCTGCCACATTTGCAAACCGCTTTTGACAATTCTAGCCGTGAAAATAATTGTGAACTGAAAGAGAAACGGATTATATAAACTCTCGGGTCAACGACACGGGCCCTTTGTCCGATCAAATAATGAATAAATCATCAGAAAATATATATTTGTGATCTATTAATTTGCTTTGAAACGAAAAAGAACAGAAGTTACTTTTCTACGTAACTAATGCAACATTTTTGCACTGTATTCTCTTACCAAAATTTTATGTATAATTATACATAAATTATATTCCTAATTTGATTTAATAATTTGCCTAGAATGGAGGAAAACAAGATTGTGCGATAGTTATATGAAGTATTGGTGGGCTAGTTGTTTGACGAATTTTTGCCAAGTACATCAGTGATTCGGTGCAAACTAGACGTCGTAAAGCTGGATCGCAAATTAACGATCTAGCGAGATCGTAAGTTTCGCTTGGCATAATACGATGTCACAACACCGGGCCGGTGTTTGTAAGCTTCCGGCGACGGCACTTCAAACATTGCCAGCTACGAGCCAGAAGTCTTTTTGGCCCGGCCTCGTGGATGCGCCAACGTCGTTCACGTTACACGATTCTCCGGTTCGTTCACCTTTCATCACGGCCCTCCTTGTTCATCATAATACCGTTCATATACAAATTCATAACATTTGGTTGTTTCGCCACATAGATTTACACCATCTATCATTTTTTTTCGTTTAAATCACGTTCTGCAACATATCAATAGATTAATATATATATATCTCGTTGTATATCAGATAGAATATAGAGAAATTCTTTCTTTGAAATGATTGTTGCGACGTTAAGGATGTTCCCTTACTTGTCGGTAAGGATACATTTAAAATAAATGAATTTCCTTATTTTATTTCAGGAATTACAGCAAGGTAATGGAAATCTGGGTGTCACGGGGCTGGGCGGGATGCAGGAGTCGTCTCATTCGTTGAAGATCAAGCAGGAGCCTTTTCAGGTGTCCCCGCCATCGCCCCTTCCCCCCCTGCATCAAGGTAAGTGTTCCATTTCGCGTCGTACCTAACCACGATCAACAAAAAATCGTTACCACCCGAGCATGTATCTAAAAACGTGTTGACTGACGTTGAAAGACTGGCTTGACGTCATCGGGATGCCGCCACCAATGATTTCTTCGTGTTCACGGTACCCGAAAACCACGTTCTAATAATACAAAATGCTGCTCAAGTGTCGCGTGACTCCTTACTGACTGAAAGGCACGGGACAGGGAGCGAAAAGAGACGGAAAAAGCGGTCGAGAATAATCTGAAAGAAGATGGAACGAGAAGTGAGGAGTAGAAGAATAAGTAGAACGAGGAAAGAAAGTAAAAACTGGAGGGAGGGAGAAAGAGAGAGATAGACAGTAATGGATGATATACCGATGGAGGCTGCATCCTAATCTCTCCACGTGTCGTTTAGTTCACATTCTCTGCCTCGATTGCGCTTCTTCGAGAAGCTGTCAGTGGCTCATCCTCGACAGTTTCGGGTTAAAAATGATCACTAATGGAAATATACCCTGTGTATCAAATGATGCGTGTATACCTGGAAACAGAGAGTTTATATATATATATATAGATATATATATACTCTGATGATTTATCAATTACAATCAGCGAGATGCATTGTTTTCATATAGATGGTGTATACATATTGTATTAATATTATGTTGCTGATGGACGTGTCCAGCTTCATACGTTGGTTGTTAACGCCATGTCCATTAATCATTCGTCGGGATGGAAAAAGGCACGTTCGGTGGATAGATTTGTTTATGGAAATATAACGAATCCAATCAAAATCCGAAGTAAAATTCTTTCATCTATCACGGTTCGCTGCAATATACATAATAGATTGTAATTAAAAAAAAAAAGAAATAATATCGATCCATGCGAAGAGTGATTTTCCTTGTACACGATGGAAGGCAAATGACGTCGGAAGAGTTAAAAGAGCATATAAATCCTCTGATAAAGAGGAAATGATCGCACCCAGAGTTTCGTGTTACCAGATTTTTCTGATTCGCTAATCGCTGAAGATAGACGGGGGCTCCGTTGAAATCTAAGAAGCTTGGTATCAATATCTTCAGCGAGTTATGCGCGTGTGCACGCGATTTGATCGCGTACACGTCGCAAAAATCTTTAGTCTGCTCTGTTCGATTAGATAAAGCTATTAGTCAGTCTCGATGACGACGTGAAGGATCTTCCTCGTGGGTAGCAGTCGAAAATTTTTATAGAGTAACGAGACGACGAAGAATGATTTTCCGGGTTTCTTCTTTTTTTTTTTTCTTTTGAACAGAAGGAGATTTTGCGTTTAATTAACTCGCTAATTTTGGCCAACGATAATGTTTCTTCTACCATTCGATCGTCCATTCGTATTTACATTAGTATTATGCATGCGCAAAATTGTTAAAAGCGTATTTAAGATCTTTTTTTTCTTGATCTTGAAACCTCGGCACTTTTTGATGATTAAAAAAAAAAGAAAAAAATTTTTTTTGCTGTAAAAATATCGTAAACAGTATAAATACTAGTTAATAAGTGTCTCGACTGATGTTCTACATTTTCGTGGTGCGTTTAATAGTCATATTCACGATTATGCATGCATATTTATCGGGCTAATAAAAACTCACCGATAAAGCTCCATAGAAAGTTGACACGTTTAATTGTGCAGCGCCTGAGCGGTGCTCTGATTAACTGGGGTCGTAGTTTAGCTTCTTTAGAGCCTTCTAATTACAAGAAAACTAACAAACAAAACGTTGATAATT